CGGTTGAAACCGGTATTAAACATAAAAAATAACTCCGATTTTAAACTTTAACCAATCAAACCTAACCTCTTTCTGCTGCGCCGATTAATTTAATGCATCCTTCGTGCTAGCTCAAGAATAACCTTTAAGGTACAAACTTGCTTACATGGAACACATCCGCTATACTAAAGTGAGAAACATTGATGCAGTGGTGTTTGGAAAATATGAGATCGCGACTTGGTACTACTCGCCTTTCCCCGATGAGTACAAAAATGTTAAAAAGATATATGTATGTCAACATTGCATGAAATATATGAAGGTCAAGGAAACATATGGCCGACACACGGTTAGTTACGGCGATTTATTGCATGATTTAAAAATGCTTATGAACAAAAGTACTTACTACTTTATTATTACTAACAATAGTCTATATGCGAATGGAAATACCCACCAGGTGAAAAGATATATGAAGTAGGCAGGAACAAAATATACGAGGTGGATGGAAAATTACATAAGGCATGCTGACTTATGTCATTATCACTTTATTTACGGTTCAGTGCCGAACTTGAAACCCTTATGTTTCGATTTTTGCATTTAGCTTTATTGTCAGAATTTTTGCCTGTTGGCAAAATTCTTTCTCGACAACAAAATGATATATTATGATGTAGAATCGTTTCTATTTTATATTTTGACAGAGGTCGATGATCGCAATGAAGAACAAGTTATCGGATATTTCTCGAAGGTAAAATTATCTAGATTGATGACAAATTGGTAACAATGTTATAAATCGTGTTCAAATAATTATCATCTCGTTCACTTGATAGGAAAAAATCTCGTATGATAATTACAATCTAGCTTGTATTCTTGTTTTTCCTCCCTATCAAAGGCGAGGGTACGGCCTATTACTAATAGATTTCAGTAAGTAGATACAAAAAGTTATATTTCAGAAGGGTTAATCGTTACCAAACTTAATTTTGCATCATCGTGCTAGCTCAAGAATAACCTTTAAGGTACAAACTTGCTTACATGGAACACATCCGCTATACTAAAG